GGATAGGGATAATCCTTCCTCAGGCAAGGGGCTGGAGGTGACCTCTGGAGGTATCTTCCATCCCTCCTTCTCTACGATTAAGCAGAGAAGCTGTCCTTCTTGCTGGAAAAGAAGCAAGCCTGGAGACAACATGCAGCTGCCAAGATGTCTGCCCCTTGTGTTTGGTTTAGCAAGCTGAAAGGGCAGGAGTCTTGTTAACCCTCTCAGCCATAGATAAGGGCTGAGCACTGTCACTTGTGGCTGAAGCAGCAAGTGAGCTGCTGATAGTATTTTGATAAGGCTTTTGACGTGGAAATGATGCTTCACTTACAGAAATGCATATAAAAAGCTATTTACAATAAATACTGTCCCATTTCAGTTAAATGTAGCCTCCCGTCCCATTTCAGTTAAAGGTCATTTAAATCAGGAAAGCTTACATATGCCAGTATAATCAGTTTTGTTACAGCTTATGGGGTAAGCAAGTAAGCAATGGCTTTGGAAGGAATATAACAAATTACTGTAACCACACAACCTAGCAGTAATAACTTACCAATATTGTCACAATCCTGCAGGGAAGAAAAAAAATAATCTTCCTTCTACTTTTCTTCAGAAATCATGAAGTCTGCTATACTGGGAAGTTTATCAGGCAACTGAACAAAATCCAATGTTCTTTGTATATATTTTGCTATAGATAAGTAAGGCTGGAAGGAACCTCAGGGCCATCTAGTCCAAGCCCCTACTCAAAGCAGGCCCATCCCTTTCTAAGCCATTCTAGACAAGCATTTGTCTTAACCTGTTCTTCTGAACTTCAAGAACAAATTCATATAAACTACCAGGCAGAGTCTGAAACAACAGACACACACTCTAACTTGCCACAGGTACAGAAGGCAGATGAGGGCATTGTCAGTCTACTAGGTTATAGATCAAAAGCTGCAATTGCGTACTCAATCACTGAGTCAGCGTGAATCCTAGTGACAAGATGACCCATTAGAAAAATCTATTCAATAGCTTTAGCATTGCAGTGAGCCAAGAACTGAGGTAGAAATCAAATTCAAAAGCACAATACAAAAGAGAATAAACTAATGCTACTAAGTAATCATTGACAATACTGAGTATTATCCAACAGCCACAGAAAAGTTTCAATACAAATACTCACCAAAATTTTAGGCCTTCTGTCATGGTCCACCATATCCAGCAAAGGGTACATCTCCCGAAGCATATCAATAGTAATAGGCCGACAAAAACCCAAACTGTAAAACTCCAGTTAAGGACACAAAAATATATACATATTTCTATATCTTAATTTTAAGATCATAAAGTCAACAAATTGTAATATATCAAGTTACAATCCTGGCAACACAAATCACATGAGAACACAATACAAGAAGTCACAGACCCTAACTTCATTTTAATCTATATCATGAAAGAAGTTACTTCATTTGGATTTGGGCTTGCTTTGTAGCTTTACTAGGACAGCTCACATAAACAGAAGTGGTGAAAAAGCATGCATTTGAGAACCCAACATCACTATAACATCTTATTTTGCATTTGCTTAAAAGGGAACCCTGAAGTTCATCAGAAGTTATAGCTAAATAACCATTGTAAAATTTATTTGCAAATCATATTTTGGCTACTTGAGTATTTAGATTTTGATAGAAGGAAATTATGGGTGTGAAAAGATGTAGCCTTTGTGCCTCCACAAAAATGTTCATGGGGGCACAAATGCCAAACAGATCTCTGCGCCCCTTTTCATGCCAGAAATACCCAAAATTTGTGACCATGACACAGGTGTGCATTGTGCCGCTATCTTGTGGCTGGCATCTGTTTTAGGGTGGAAAAGCACAGGCAGCCTGGGACTGCCTGCACTCTTCAGTCTACCCAGCTGACATGCCTGGGGCCCAATCCTGTGCACCCCAGGAGCAGAAATTCCTGGGGTCCCTGAAGCCTCAATAGTGCCTGCCTGGATTTCCCCATTTGGGATTCCCAGGGCATGTGTCCACACTCCAGTGTGGTCCCAGGCTTGGATCACCAATCAGCAGACTGGCAGTCCCAGCCCCATGACTACACAGGATCCAGCTCTCCCTTTCTATAAGTGAAGCATCATTTCCACATCAAAAGCCATAATTATCAAAATACTATCAGCAGCTCACTTGCTGCTTCAGCCACAAGTGACAGTGCTCAGCCCTTATCTATGGCTGAGAGGGTTAACAAGACTCCTGCCCTTTCAGCTTGCTAAACCAAACACAAGGGGCAGACATCTTGGCAGCTGCATGTTGTCTCCAGGCTTGCTTCTTTTCCAGCAAGAAGGACAGCTTCTCTGCTTAATCGTAGAGAAGGAGGGATGGAAGATACCTCCAGAGGTCACCTCCAGCCCCTTGCCTGAGGAAGAATTATCCCTATCCAACCATCCTATATAATCCATAATCTAAACTCTACATAAAACTACCATCAACCCTGACACAACACAGACCTAATAGCCTAACCTGCCACAGGTAAAGCAGGAGAACCATGTCAAGCAACTTCCTGCTTCTATGAAATGTTGTCAGTACATGCTCAGGAAATCCCAGATAGAACCCCCTTCTCCCCCACCCCCACTACAGATGAAGGCAAAAGCCCCCATAGTTCATACCAATCTGATCAATCCTTCCTGACCCCTAAAATGGCGATTGATCTGACCCTGAGCAGAAAGGCAAGACCATCTAGCCAGGAACCTCCAGCTTTGGTCTCAGCAAGAGCACTGGCACACCCCAGTCAAAATCCCTAACCTTGTATGTAGCCAACCCCCAGTGTCTCTGAGGAAGGCTTAAAGGGAGAGATGTGCCCTGGAGGTTCCCCAGGGGGCACATCTGCAAGCAGGGAACACATCACCTGTTGCCCCACAGGATAAAGAAGGCAGGACAACAAGCAACATGCATTTCACACAATGAAGCTGATCAGGATTTGTCCCAGCACAATTGGTCTGATTCAATGGGCGATGTTTATTTGTACCTTAAGAAACCATTAATTGCACCTTAAAAGTGTGTGTGGGGGGGGGCGGAATTTAAAAAGGAAGGTGAAAGAAAAACCTCCTACACTGAATGAGATCATGAAGCAATCTTCTAATTTTCATAGCAATACCCTTAAGAAACAGAATTCCATTAAATCTAAACCTTAATGGAGTAATTCATAGAACACTTGTTTGTTTATGAATAGTACAAACATCCAATGCTCAGTACTAGCAAAACCTGCCCTCAAATGTATGCAAAAAACCAAGAAGGATCAAAAACTATTTAAGAAGCTGACCATTTGTTTCTTTCTGATGAAGTATGTCTTACATTCAAAAGCTTGTCCAAAGTGATTCCAATCATGAACTTGGGCTATTAAACAGATATGAACATAAAAAAAAAAATCCTCCCTTTCATACCAGGATCTCAGTCATTCATAAAGATTTTAAAATCTTTGAAAGCACGTGTTCAGTATAAGTCTAATTATACCTGAGGTTTATATTGTAGATACAATCATGAATTTGAAAATTAATGTAAGAGATCCCATCATGCTGTTTCTTACTATGCCTGAATGTTTATAGTTGTCCAAAGAGTATTCTTGGTAACTAGCTTTAAATTTTCAAATGGATAATGTAAGCAAAGTATCAAGAATATTTTGTCTTGTTTAAATAAAATTCCAATCTGAACATCTGTTTTTAAAGTTTAATGAAAATTTCAATTTAGTGAAAAGGTACTGAATTTGGAGATAATGCCAGATTCAATGCATATATAAAAAGACTAATTATAAAATTACTTTCTTCATAAACATCACCAAGCATAAATGTTCTGGGGTGCTCAGATCATGTGATGGCCTTAGCTATATCCATGTAGATTCCTTAATTATGTCCTCAGTGTCACCCATGCAACCCTCTTGTCCTCAAGGTGTGTGCATATTTGGTCTAGCTGTAACTTGTATTTCGCCAACAATTCTGTTAAAACACACGCAGAACAGAGTTTCTCTTACTCTCTGATGCACTGCTCTTGCAGGACTACCAGGAATGCAGAGTAGTATAACATTTTATCCAGTAAGCACAGTAGATAGGATTCTGATAACAAGCAGGGAAGCTATTTAAACATTATGTCACCATTAGTTATTTTTCAAATGTAAAAAACAGTCTTAGAGAAATTAACTCTGAAAGTTGAAGTTTTCCAGGAAACAAGTAGAATAGCCCAATATGCTTCCCCTCCCACAAGAGATGAGTACTAGGTATGCTTTATTTATAACGGGAAGAATATTCTTCTGGTGGGTAGTACTATTACCTGCTCTAGGGCCCCCTCTACACATTATACTTAAAGTGAGATTAACTAATTAACCATACCTTAAACTGTGACTCAAGCTATATGTTTAACCAATTAAGGGAATGACAAAACAAGCAATAAGATACAAAGTTATTTCACAAAAAATGTTAACAACTTTATAGCTGGTTCTAATCATGCCATTAATTAAACCTGTGGCTAAGTGCTCCCCTCTGGCTGGTAGCCCCATCACCTGAGGGGCTCCAAGCCAAAGGGATGCACCACCAGCATTCCCAGAACTGCTGCTGCTGTGAGTCTCATCAGCTGCTGGGCTTGCAGCAGTGGAAGCATTCTTTCCACTGCTGGACAGCGCTGTCCCCACGGCCAGCCCTGCAGCCAACAGCACTGCCCCTGATGCCTGACAAGGCTTGCAGTGGTGGCAGCATTCCCAGCACTGCCCCTGCTGTGAGCCTCACAGCCATGGAAGCTGGCACAGGGGGGGCCTGGGATCATGACTCTGGATTCCTCCTGCACCAGTGATAAGACATGATAGGATCTAATCAATGAATGATCCCACAATTGCGCCTCCTGTCATGTGCGTGTGTCATGGCAGGAGGCACAATTATGTGAATTGCGCATGTTAAAATCCCATTGTGCCTTTACCTATATTCATAAAGGGGCCCTAGAAAAAGGAACCAACACCAGAGCAAACAAACACATCAAACTTTGCTCATGTCTAAGTAATCGTGTCCCTCTTTGCTTACTGAAATATGCCTAATGTTACAACAAATCTCATTTCCAAGGAAAAAAGCTTAAGTTTTTATTAAAGGAAAAATGTTGTCTCAGAGAAGCCACAGACACTGGCTTGTGACTGAGTTGAATCAGTGGGATGTAAAAATGTAAAAGTTTCTGGAAGCACTAGGGGATGATTAATTCAAGCTCTCAGACATGTAGACAGATCAAGAGAAGCTTCAGCCACCTTGGGAACAATTACATATCCTGGCTTGAACTGGCTGAGGAAGGCTACCCAGCAAAGGACTAAGAAGGGTATAAAGCAGTGATGTTCAGCCTATGGCTTATGGGCTGGAAGCAGCCTGCAGAGCATGAAGGAATGGTCTGTTGCCTCACATGATGTCCCTGCCTGAGCTCCCCAGCACATCAGCATGGCTGAGTGTGCAGAGATACAGCAATGCTTTTCTCTGCTGCCCTTGGCCCATTTCAGATTTTAATGTTTGTTTGATTCACTTATAAAAAGGTTGGTCACCAAGGGTTTAAAGTGCTCAGCTTGACTTAGGGCTAGCAGCACTCCCTTTTGATCCATGAACTAGGCCAAAGTGCCACAGAAGAACAAATAATCGATGAATTTGTCTGTACCTGGCAAGATAGTATGGAAGCAGTTTTATTATTACTATGACAAATGTTTTCCCTGTAACATTTTTGTCCCAAAATAAATAGTACTGTGTTTTATGAAGGATATTTGGTTCCCTGTCATTATCTCTGACAGCACCAAAACACACGTGCTGTACTGAAGTCAAACTTGCTAAGGTAATTCAAGTGAGTCATAAAAGAGACTATAGTCAAAAACCTTTTAAAAAGTCTTATAGTTTCATAGTAGCTAGGGTCAGGAGGGACCTGAACAGATCATCTAGCCTGACCCCCTGCCACAGGCAGGAATGAATGCTGGGTTCACAAGACCCCAGACAGGTGATCGTCCAACCTCCTCTTGAATTTGTCCAAGGTAGGGGCGAGGACCACTTCCCTGGGAAGTCGGTTCCAGATTTTGGCCACCCTAACTGTAAAATATTGCCTTCTGATCTCTAAACTAAACCTATTCTCCATCAGCTTATTACCATTGTTCCTTGTCACCCCAGGTGGTGCTGGGGAGAAAAGGGCTCTACCTATTTGCTGTTGATCTCCCCTGATGAGTTTGTAGGCAGCCACCAGGTCCCTGCTCAGCCTCCTCTTGCTGGGACCTGAACCTGTTCAGCCTCTCAGTCTCTCCTTGTAGGGCCTGTCCTGCTGCCCTCTCACCAAGTGGGTGGCCCTCCTCTGAACCCTCTCCAGGCTAGCCACATCTCTTTTGAAGTGCAGCACCCAGTACTGGACACAGTACTCCAACTGCAGTCTGACCAAAGTCACATAGAGGGGGAGTATCACCCCTCTGGACTGGCTTGAGATGCATCTTTGGATGCATGACAAGGTATGGCTGGCCTTGCCTGCTGCTGTCTGGCATTGGCGGCTCATGTTCATCTTGGAGTCAATAATGACTCCAAGATCCTGTTCCGCCTCTGTGCTTTCAAGGAGGGAACTCCCCAGCCTGTATGTATGCTGTGGATTCCTTCTCCCAAGGTGCAGCACCCTGCATTTATCTACGTTGAACCCCATCCTATTCTCATCTGCCCACTTTTGTAGTCTGTCTAAATCTATTTGCAGCCTCTCTCTCTCTTCAAGTGTGTCCACCTCACCCCACATCTTAGTGTCATCAGCAAACTTGGACAGTGTGCTTAAAGGATTTGGATCCTTACTCAAGAAACAGAGGACAGCTCTAGACCTGCGATTTGAGTGAGGCTTTCTAGAAGAGGCCATTGGGATTTCAATAGTGTAACTAGCCCTGAAACTGAGAGTCTTATCTATACTACCACATTTTAAATAGAACAGAGACTTGAAAGTCGCTGAATCCTAAGAAATACTTAGCCTCAGCAGTGTCAGACAATCATGTTTTATCATACATAGTCCTGTCATGAAAGGTAAAATGCATAATACCACCTTATAATATTGTATGCAAAATTAGTAAAGACAATGCCTGCCATACGAAAGGATTAGAATGGTCTAAAGCAGGAGTGGCCAACCTATGGCATGGGTGCCACAAGAAGCCTGTGTGTGCATGCAGACTGGGGAGAGGACACGCAGCACAGTAGCAGATGAGACAGGAAGCAGAAAGAAAAATAGTAGATCAGGCAGGGAGAACAATGAAAGAAACAGAATGCAGAGCAGTAGATCAGGAAGGGAAAGGGGATTGAAGTTGCACTTAGAAAGGGTTCAAGGCTAATTGTGGCAGGCCTGCCAAAAATGGGTCTTGCCCCCACTGGTCTTGAGCTCTCCTGTCTTTATGCTTCTCATTATTTTCAATTAAACATTTATTTAAATCCCAGAAACAAAAAATATTGCTTTCTAAGGGAAGTCTCAAACTTAAAGACCGACTTCACAGCATAAAATCCCTTTTAGAGAAATTAACTCTGAAAATTGAAGTAATTAGGGATAAACGATATAACCCAAGAAAGAAAATTTGTTAAAAGCAAGTTTATTTCAAGAACAGGCCTGTGAAATGGTTCTGGAAATATATTCCTAGTTACCAGATAACAATATCCCAAGATTCATTCTCAGGGCAGTCCCTTAAGAAGTGATTAGTCATTTTCATACAAGTTCAAGTATTTCTGTACCCTGGTATAAAAAAAGGTTAAGTAAAGCAGAGTGAAAAACAAAACAAAACAAAGAGGTACTGCACCATACCAACAATGTTAGCAGTTTTGAACAAAGAAACAAACACTGTGTTCAGTTTCTAACATTGTCTAAAATACATTTTAACATTTCACTGAAAAAGATTAACTAGATGAATGGAAATACTTAAAAACATAAAATGTCCTTTTAAAAGGATACCAATTGGCAATATCCAGAAGTGGTCCTTGCCCAGACACAAGAACGCATTTGTCATGATAACGTTTGAACATTCTCAAAGGACTATGAGACAGCATGACCTGGTCTTGTGAAATCTGTTTGGGATAAAATAAGAACACACCATTTCTTTCAAATGCATTTTTAATTTTAGGCTGAAAAAACATTTTCAGGGTTGACCAATACACTGATGCCAGTGGTTTCTGATTTCATTACCCTGCAGCAAAACCCCCAGTTTTTCTTTTTCTATTTATTTTTAAATGCATTCCCTCCCCTTCCCGAACCATTTCTGACTTTTTCTCTCCCTCTCTATTCCCTATAGATAAGTATAAGTAAACTAAGATGTAGGATAAGCTTTAACATTTTATTTTAGGTAGTAAGTTTTATTTTTCTCTCCCTTCTTTGCAAATAAGTTCCCTGCTACTTTGATATCAATACCCACTGTTTTATAAGTTATGCCTCTGCCGGGCATCCCTTGTGTTGCAACTGTATGATTCATGTACCCCTCCCATGTAAATTGGTTCCCGGATGAATGAGAGTGATTGGGAATGATTGAAACACAATGGTAGCAGGCCTCTACTGAATGGCCTGTAACGACCAGGCCATCACCTCGCATTGATTCATCCAGGAACCATGGAACTCACCCAGGAACAGAGACAAGAACCTAGCATTTGAAAGACAAAAGACCCTGGAGAACCAGCAACTCTACCATTGTACCCCACCGTTACAGACACCCGAAACTGCACATCCCTGCATGGAGCATACATACTCAGTGCACCAGGGGCTGACCCTTGTCTGGGCATGCCTCCTGTCACTAGGGTCACACAAGGTCTGCCCCTATAAAAAGGAGCAGTGAAGACAGATCCAGTGGGACACCCTCTCCATCTGGACCAGCACCATGCCACACCACCTATCCACCCAGAGGCCCTGCTGGTGACCCCCGTCTGGACAACACCTACTGGACAAGGACCCCTTTCCAGCCTGGACTGGTAGCTATCAACCCCCACCCCATCTTCAACCAAGGACTTGGGCTCTGGTTCTCTTCCCTAGCTGGACTCCAACCCTTCCACTGAGTCTCTTTCTCCTGCTGCCATTGTGACTGTGTGTGCGTGTGCGTGAACCAATAACTTCATGGGGCTGTGTAGTGTGTTGTCTATTTAATAAAACTGTTATTTGGACCCCTAAATTGGGTTTTGCTTTACTATGGTTTGGCCCCGCTCCAATCTCTGCTCCTCGCCCCTCTAACTTCTGTCTCATTTCTCCCTCTCCTGCTTCTGGCTCACTGCCACCTCCAACACCTGTCCTGAGCTCCTCTCTGCCTCCAAACCCCTTGTTTCTTTGCCACTGTCTTATCCCCACTGCCTTTTCCTTTTCCCCTGAGCAACCAGGTTTCTGCCTCAGTTTCTTTCCTGGCTGTCTCCTTCTTGCCACCACTTATCTCCCCCCGCCCCAATATCTCAGCTGTCTGCCTCAGTTTCCAGCCCCAGTCTACCTTAAATAAATCCAAGCCTCAGATCCTCAGCCAGATTCTCTGTAGTCTACTGGTTCTAATCCCAGTTCTGGCAACTTTCACTCCCTACACTTTAACTCTCTTTCTCTCACCTGAACCTTCCCCCAAGTATCCCAGATACCCCAAGCACACACATACACACTGTACCATCCAAGTTAGGAACTTACCTGTGTAGGGGTGTGCGTGTGTGTATATATATGTCATTGTGTGCATGATATACGAATTAGTGATCCGTGCCTAACTTTTGGGGTGTATAGAGTATGTGCTTGGATTGGTGATAGGTATGCATGTGCCTAGGCTGGTTTGGATGTGCCTGAGCTGGTAGAGTGTGTGTGTGTGTGTGTGTGTGTACCTGATTTGTGTATTTGTATATGTGCAATTGTGTCACACCCTCCTGTCTAACAGTGCAATATTGAGATCCTGAGAGATGGCATGACCCCACAGGGCAACATTTTATGGTGGAGAATGCAGGCATATTGCGGGTGTTAGCAGGAGTGAGAAGTGTGGGTTGGGTGAGCTAGTGTGCCTGTGTATTTGATGCCTGCCTATGTTGTATTTGAAGCATTGCTGTTACTGTAGGAACGCCTACACCATTACTGTTGTGATTACAGAACTCGCCCCAGAGCGGGGTGGGCATACCCAGTGTAGGGTCGGCATTGTTAAGGGGAACTCCTGCAGGACAGGGGCTCGAGCACCCACAGCACTATAGAACTCACCCCAGAGCGGGGTAGGCATACCCAGTGTAGGGTCGGCATTGTTAAGGGGAACTCCTGCAGGACAGGGGCTCGAGCACCCACAGTGCTTTCTTTGTTGTTATTATTGTGTCTGTTGTTGTTGTAGGGCACAGAAGTCCAGGAACCAGCATGTTCAGGCACAAGACCCCCACACCAGGCATAAGTGATCACAGCACTAAAGGGGTGAAAAAGGAGGAGGCAGGTCCTCTCCAGCAGAAATGCTTGTAAGATTGTTTTGTCTTGAGGCTTTTGAGATTTTGTGTCTTGAGCTTTGAGGTGTCTAAAATTTTGAGTTTTGAGTTTATTGCTGGCTGTAAGCTACTGTTTGGTGGATGACACTGGGTTTTATTTACTGTGAAGAGATAGTATAGTCTAGTATTTAGACCTGAGTAGAAAGGGTAGCAACCTGGTTCTCTGACTTCCCTCTTTTGTGCCAGATTTGGGACATACGGGAGATCCAGTTCTTGAAAAGTGCTGGGTCTGGGCAGGTTGAAAGCCATTATGATTGAAACTGCCCCCCACAGCTTGTGCCTGTATTGTTACAGCCCTATGTGAGGGAGTTAAAGAAAATTTCACTAGGAAAGATGCATGGTTCATTCATTCAGGGTTTGTTTCCTTACATATAGAGATTCAGAAAGCAAGGAGCTGTGATAGAGAGAGGGAAAGGAAAAAGATAGAGGGAAGTGGGAAAACAGGCTGCGAGGCAGCTGTGAAAGAGAGATGTGGAAAGTGTTTAGAAAGAAAGGAGAGAATAAGAGATTAACAGAGTTTAAATGCTAGAGCAGGTAGGAGGAAACAGTAAGCATGCAATTTTAGGAATGACTGCTCTAGAGCAGGGAAAAGATGCAGTTGCTTTAAGGAAAAGTTGTGTCCTGATCTCAGAGTGCCTGAGGTCATGCTGTGGTCTGTTTGGGTTAAGTACAACACCCTATATCACTGGTCCAATAAGAAGTCAGTATCAGAGAAAACTAAGTTCTGTGCTAGAGACTGTGAATGTTTGTAGCACAAGTAAAGCCAAGAGATTGCAGGGATTGTTGAGGTGTTTGTGCAAAACAGTGTTGTGTGTTTGCTTTGTGCCTGTGTTGCAAGGCAGAGACTCCTAGAAGTGTAAAAGTATACCCTTATTGGTAATGAGGGTGAGATGTAAGAACATGAAAAAGGCTTTCTAAGCAAAAATTCTGAGGGAGAAAGTGTCCCTCTGAGGGATGCCAATGCCCTTGTTGCAGTTGGGCCAGGTTGTCACTTTAAAAATGAGTTTTTCAGGAGGGCTCCACAGAGCAATTAATTTTGGGAGCCTCCTTGTTAAATAAATCACCTGACCCTCAAGGAATCTGGTGAACAGTCTTTTCTATCCTGCCGGCCACCCTTCTTGGCTAGCAGGAAGGAATGGCTCTGAGCCATTGGACAATACGCGTTGGACAGGCTGATTGGTGCCCACCCCAATGTTGAGGCAGGAAAAGGCCAGAAAAGTCCTCAACTTAGGATGGCCACCCTCCTGTAGGTAACTGCTCCACTTTCAGTATAAAAGAAAAGCACCCCAAGAATGGAAAATGATGTGTGCACCGCCACTGCAAATGTCAGCACTGTACATTTGTAAATATTAGCCACTGCAAGGAGTTTTCCTTGGCAGGTTTGTGTGTGTTTGTTTTCTTTTGCAGAAACCACAGTGTAATCAAAGGTGACGGATAAGCCATGAGGCCTCGTTGCCACCAGCAGCATCTTCCTTATCACAGCCATGGCAAAATAAATAAATACATAAAAATTGTCTCGTGTGTTTGTGTTATATGCTTTGTGTTTGTTTGTTTGGTTTGTTTTAAGTTGTCACAGTTTAAATACATATGAATATCATAAAGATATAATAAAAGTCATTGGTAATACCCCCTCTAAAAATTGAATCGGTCTGTGGATCCCAGACCACTTCCATCCGGTTGGACTGGAAAGTTGTTATGATATTTGAAAAAAAGGGCAGCAATTCTCAAAAAAGTTTAAGATTCCACTTGGTTAGCAAAATTATATTTATTAAAGGTTATGTGTATTTTGTTGTTGGGGGGGTTGTTTATTTGTTTCCCCCCTACTCTAAACTATCTGATGTCAAAATGTTTTGTTTTTGGTTTGTTTTTATTTGTTTGTTTGTCTGTACTTCTCTTAAGGATATAAATGCTATTTAGAATACCAGTATAACAAGATGCATGTAAAAACTGCATTCAAAGTCATATTTTAATTAGCAAAGAGACAACTATACCATTGTAACTGTTCAAATCAACCTCATTATGTTATTTTCTTTCTCTTCCGCCCCTCAAGGTTTTTCTCTTTCAATATCTTTTAACTGCCTAAGTTTTGTTTTAACTTCAAACCAGCTGAAGATGACACACCTCCTTTCTATATAGCTGGATGCAACAGGGGGCCTACTTGGGCCGATCTTCATGGCCCGCCCACCTGTTCTTGGGCTAACCACCTGCCTTCTCGCCTGCCATGCCTTGATGTTAATTGATTAATTAATTGACGTCAGTTAAGCGGGAGGCTACCCATTTTGGTGCCCCGATGCCACGGGGCGCTCTCTGCGGCTCCTTTTCTCCTCTACACTGCAGTCCAAGCCTCGCAGATGGCATCTTGATGTTCACATAAATCACCAGCCCCCACACTGGGCCCCAGAATCCTCCTAACAGGACCCCTCCACAATCTCTCCCTTCAGGCGGCCTACCCCGCCTTCATTCAGGCTACCTAGCTCGCTGAAACTATTTTCCCCTCTCAGGTGTGGTCCCCCCGGGACCTCTGGCTACCAGCCCTGGCCCACCTCCAGGCCAGTTGGGTCCCCAGACCTCCGGCTCTTGGTTGCCTCTCACGGTGGGCCCCCGGCCCTTTTGACCGTCCTGCTCCTGGCCCCAGCACGGGCCAGTTGAGGGTACTCTCTTGTTCAGGTCTGAGTCTCTAGCCCCTCAATCTCTCCAGGGGTCTGCCCTCTGGGCCCTTCACACAAACACAGGGTTTACCCACCCGGTCGTGGGGGCTAGGGGTTAAGGCACCCCGACCCGCCTTTCACCAGGGTGGTAACTGGCCTGGCATTTCCTGGGGGCTCCCACGCCACTGAGAGCCCCACCAGGCCACCCACTCCCAGCAGGGTGCAGTTTTAGGTCATGCCCAGGACCAGGAGCCTCCTGACCATCCCCTACAGCTCCTCCCTTACCTCCAAATGATCTCAGCAGCCCTCCGGCCAGGCGATGTTGTTGCCTGGCCTCCAGCTGCCGAACTGCCCTGTTTATATAGGCAGCCCTTGACTCAAAATGGCTGCCCTCATCGGGCACCTGGTGGCTGCCAGCTCCAGGCCCTTAAAGTGGCAGGCGCACACAGTGCTCTGCCACACTGGACAATGGTGTGCCTGAGCTGGTAGTGTGTGTGTATGCACCCAATTGATTTTTGTGTTTGTATATGTGCAATTGTGTCACACCCTCCTGTCTAACAGCGCAATATTGAGATCCTGAGAGTTGGCCTGACCCCACAGGGCAACACCCAAAACTCACTATAGAAAATGGTGCTTCCCAAACATACCCTTGATACATCATTCTGTTTTTACCATAATTTCCTAGCCAAAAATACTAAACATGATACAAGGCAGAAAAAAGTTTAAGATTATTAAACTTACAAATGGACAGATCACACACCCCTTTTATCTTTTAGAACTCCTTTATTCATAGGGTTTTCACTGTCAGGTCTGTACAATCAGCTAAGACACACCATTAATTGACCAAGTCCAGGAACAGGGAGTTAGGAACACCTTCATCCTAACCTTAGCAAGGTAGTGAGAAACACATAGGTCCCGTTGGGAATTTAAGATATTCCATTAGTAATAGTTGCTTGTAATAATATCTTACACCAATATACTCCTTCCAACCAAATTATTTCAAGGACTTTACAAAGCATGTCTTTTCTAATAGTAAACATTGTTAATTGAAAAGCTGAAATGCATTTAGTGCAGGATCCTCCCTTTATAATATTCACCCAAGAAAATCAACAAAAAAAAACAACAAAACAACCCCCCTCTCCCCCCCAAAATACCCATAATTAAGAGTTACTCACTGGCACTCCCAGAATATGAGACAACTGATCAGCTTTTTTCTGGCGAAGACAGTTCCCTGCATTGGTGACAAACACAACAGGCACCAAGAAATGTCCTTGAGAATTCACCAGCTTTTGAAAAGCTACTTTAGCAGCAGGAAGTGGAGTCTTTCCTCGTACCAATACTCCATCGATGTCAAAGAGAAAGCCAAAAGTAGGCTGCACATGAGGCTGCAAGGACAAAAAAAAAAGGTGAAAAAAAGTAGTTTATTATTTTCATCATTACACACATTCAATAAAAATTACAGTACCCTGCCCTGATAGCACAATCGTTCTGCTCTCTCCAGGTTGCTTATAACAGTAATCAGTGATCAAATAGTCTCCTTAAACTAACATACTGTTTCAGATAAATTCAAGACTAAAAAATATAACGTCGCTTTCCATTGGCTCTGGGAAAGCTGATTTTCACAGACTCCCTCCACAAAGTTAATGTCAATCTGCCTCTCTATATAGCTACGGACAAGAGACTCCTAAACTCCCCCACCGCCCCCCAATTTTTTTCCTCAACTATTTTAGAGTTCTTCTGACCGCTAGGCTCCTAACTTTGGTAAAGATTTGCCCATTGCTAGAGACTACACATACAATTCTTAAAGCTAGCATTTTTTCCTAGTCCTGCTTACGCTTTGGGTGTCTTTACCTATTGCATTGCCTTCCTATTTACTCTTCTCATAACCTGGTTCCAGCCATAAGTAGAGGCCAAATTAGCATGTGGATCCTTGGGGGATCCTTGGGGGGGGGGGCGGGCAGGCAGGAGAAGAGTGTATCTGGAGTCCACACACATACAGTGCTGTACTGTGGGGTTACGATGACCTGAAAATATGATAAATAATGAGCCTTTTGGCTTTGGACTAATATGTCATGCGTAGTTTGTGCTATATCTCAGTCGGTTAAAAAAAAAAAAAAGTGCCACTTAAAAGTTTGTTTACAGAGTACCTGTGCTAAAACTTGCAGCAGTTTCAAAAAGGTAAAATGCATCAATTCTGAATGAGCTAAGCATATGGGTACCTGTAGTAACTTGTCTAGATGCAAATTACTACAAATACGTTGATTTTAAGGTCATTGTTTTCAAATCTGTCTCTCTCTCACGGGGATGGAAGACAAGGGGTCTACCTGACCCTCCCCCTGGAGATTTATTTCCCCTGCAGTAGCACAGCCCCGTAGCCCTCTTTTTAAAGTGCCGGGAGTCTGGGGCTGGGCGGGGGATGGGTTTGGGCAGCATAGGCATGGGGGCTTCCCGCGGCTCCCCGGCTGGAGCAGAGGCAGGCACAGCCAGAGGAGCCGCAGGAGAAGACCCCATGGCTGCCCTGCCTGGCCCCATCCCCCACCTGGCCCCAGACTCTCAGCACTTTAAAAGGAGGGCTGAGGGGCTGTGCCGGACTCCTGCCAGGGGCACCTCCAAAACATTCTGAAACATTTTGGATGGTTTTGTTTCATTTCCGAGATGTTTCAGAGCCTTCTGTTTCGTTTTGGATTCAGTGTTTTGGGTGCCAAAATGGGCCGAAATGAAACGGCTGCCGAAATTTCACACAGCCCTATGAACTGTACAGTAACTTAACGCTGCGTAGTAGCTGGACAAAACCTGTGCTAATAGGCTACTGCACAGTAGCACAAGTTACTGCACATTTAGTACTTGATAATCCAAGTACTAAACTTAATGCGCAGTAACTATGGCACATTAATGAACATGTAGATACACCCAACGAGAATACTTCCTCATCTCAAATGAAAAAAAAAGAAAAGAAATATTTGCAAAGAACCCTGATATTAACAGTAATAAGTCACATAAAGCCCATAAGAAAATTAACAACTCTACCTTCAAAAACATTTGGAATGGTGTGAGGTAAATAAGGTCATACACTAAATAATGGAGAGAAAAAACCCCAGTGTAACTGCTTATTATGAACCAGGCTAGACAAAGGTCCTGTTACAAAAAATAACCTATCAACACATAATTAAAAACTTGTATTCATAAAGCATAACTGACAAGGGGTCTGATAAAATGTTGATCAGATGAAAGTTTTAAAAAATGCCCCAGATTTAAGAAGTCAAAAGTTTTTCTTTTAATTATGCTGTTTGTTTAACAGTACAGCAAGACAGCAAAGACAAACTAGCCACACACACATGAAAGCCAGAGACTAGCTAAGACAGAAGGTGACAGCTGCCAGATAAGATCTTATTAATCGATGTCCTCCAAACACCCTGCTTCACCAATTCCCTTACACACCCAAAGGCCCCTACCTCCCCCACCAAACAAAAAGCCAAGACAATGCCTTAGAAACCTTGTCAAGGACCAGATACCCTTATGCTGCAATAATCAATAATTACAAGTAGGAGTCCAATGGAAAGTCACATTTCTAGCTTACAACACCAGAAAGAGAGGGAGCTGTTATAGAAAAGTTTTGCTGGTGTGCTCATCCAGAGCCACCTCCTCTTCCTTTTGAGAAAGGACCAGTGTTTCTTTATGACCCTCCATGCTCTCATCCAGACAGACCGACATCATCCACATTAGCTTCCTTCATTCCTTGGAGTCTCAGAACAGCAGAGACTCCCTGTGCCTGAAGAAGGGTGCTTGTGCCCAAAAGCTTGCAAAAAACTGTTTCCCAACTACTTGGTTGGTTTAATGAAAGATACCACATCTACCCAAAGAAGCTTGCCTGTCTGACACCATCCACATTTTCATGTACACAAAGCACAAATTAACCCATCCTTCATCTCCCTGCAAGTTCAAAGCTATATTTAATAACATCTAGAAAATACACCAACATCTTTCTGTCACACTGACACATCACCTGTTTTCTAACAGATTTCTTTGACTTCCCTTTCAACTTCAAGCTATTTTGTCTGAATCCTGAACTGATTTAGAATTCATTGTAATCAGGAATCCAGACAAATGAACCAGCAACAGGACCTGACCTTGCATTACTCCATCTGTGAGGAGGGTCAGGTGTTAAGATGGGAAATGAATGATGGTTTTTTGTTTGTTTGGTTTTTTTAACTCATCAAAACAGGGACAAATTAAGACACAAATGAATCTGGGAGAGAATTCGACAGAGGAGATCCCTGCCACGGAAGCCAGTCCGGTTTAATCCGGAACGAGATGGAGACAGATTACCGGTTCCAAAGTTTTTGCATGAGGTCACTGGGTCAACCCTCAGAGTCTCACGCGCGCCGCGACCCCCGGCTGAGCGCGCACCCAGCGCCGCTCCCGCTCCCGCGGCCGCTCTCGGGACCCGGCGCCGAGACG